CCTCATGTTCTCAAGGATCGCCAAGTCCCTCATCTACTTCATCATGGCTTTTTCGAGTCTTCTCATCGGGTTCACTCTGGCGTTCCGAGTTTTCTTTTACAAGAGCGAGAATTTCCATGGCTTCATCCCCAGTATGGTGAGGACCCTGATGATGATGATAGGCGAGATCGACTACGGGTCTCTGGTGGAGGTCTCTGGTGACGAAACTCCCATCCTCTGCTACATCTTCCTGGCCCTGTTCCTGTTCCTCGTGTGCGTCCTCATGGCGAACCTCCTGATAGGTTTGGCCGTCGACGACATCGCCAAGTTGCAGACGCTCGGCAGGATTGCAAGACTGTCCAAGCAGGCCACCTACATCATCACGTACGAAAGGCTGACGCGTTTCGCGATCAAGACGAAACTGTTCCCCTTCCACTCGGCCGAGAAGCTGGACAAGATCTGCCGCCTGAAGCCCAGGTGCAACATCTACCTCAACAGGAAACGCTCTCGAATGTTCCACAGGAAGCCTCTGCCCTACGAAGCCGTGGAAGCTGCAGTGATCATTGGACACGCCGAGGCTGCACCGACCGAGAGTGACTCCGCCGCGAAGGCTGTGCAAGCGCTTGAGAAGGCGAGCGTTGCCAACATCACGGCGAAGCTCGAAGATATTGAGAAGATGCTGCAGAAGATTGTGCCGGAAAAGTCTGAGTGATTTCCATTGATACTAACAGAGAGAGGGAGAGGGAGAAGGAGAGGAAGAGGAAGAGAAAAGGGAAGAGGAAGAGGAAGAAGAAGAGGAAGAGGAAGAAGAAGAGGAAGAGGAAGAGAAAGAGAAAGAGAAAGAAAGAGAGAGAGAGAGAGAGAGAGAGAGAGAGAGAGAGAGAGAGAGAGAGAGAGAGAGAGAGAGAGAGAGAGAGAGAGAGAGAGAGAGAGAGTGAGAGAGAGAGAGAGAGAGAGAGAGAAAGAAACAGAATGCTGATGAATTTCAAAGAAAAAAAGAAGGGTCATCGTTGACACTTGTAATACACTTTCAGCACAAGGACACATTTACCCCAACAAAACAATTATAGAATATTTTAAAAAGTGTAGAAAAATATAGTACCAGTGAATGTAAATGTTAGTATGTATATAGGCTTCGACATTAAAAAAAGAAAAAAAAACTACTGTACTGATATAAATGTATTTAGCTATACCCCTTTTATGTCAAAAGTAAGAATTGCCCTGAAATTTAATTGATTGTATTAAAACAATAAAGATACTGATGGTAAGTTATTTTCAAAACCACCTTTAATTGCGTGCTGTGATTCAAAGCACAGATTTCTACAACACTTTATATTAATGTTCATACTGATAACAATAACAATATAAATAACGATAATGCTATTACAAGCAATAATAATAATAATGATAATAATGATGATAATAATAATAATAATGATAATAATAATAATAATAATAATAATAACAAAATAATAATAATAATAATAATGATAATAATAATAATAGTAATAATAATAATAGTAATAATGATAATAATAATAATAATAATGATGATAATGATAAATAATAATGATAACAATATTGATATTAACAATAATGATGAGGGTAACACTAATGATACTGTTAATGATAATGGTAATGATGAAAACACAAATGCTAATAATAGTAATATTCATGGTAATAATTATCAAATTAATGATATTTAATGATAATAACAGTAATGATAATTATAATAATGATGATAATAATAATAATAAAATAATGATAACAATGATAATAATAACTGTGATAGTAATACTAATGATAATAACAATAACAATAGCAATACTATTGATAATAACAATTATCATAGTAATAATAACAATACTAATGATAATAATGATAGTAACGATAATGATAACAATAATGATAATAGTGATTATTAACATTGTCGTTATCATTCGTATTATTATTACTAACATTATTATCATCATTACCATTATAATTATGATTACCAATATCATTGTTATTATCATCATAATCAAGATCATCATCAGCATCACCATCAAAATGAAAATAGTATAATAGAAATAATAACGATCAGACGATGTTAAAAATCACAATAAAATCAATAATGATGGTTATTAAGTGGCGGTAGTGAGGACGGTAGCAATAACGATGATATAGCAATGCTAATGTAAATGAAATAAAGGATTATATTTGCTCTCGATGGTAATACTGAAAATGATGATAATTCAGATTACGACGATAATAATGATCATAATAATATTAGGCAGTTTAGTCTCCACGGGCAAATAAACAGGCAGTGGTAGTTTGTTATATGTATAAGGAAACGTATATAACTTGACAGATTATCTTCTAATACAATCAGAAGGTTTCCGGCGCACATCATTATTTACAATGTCAGACAGGAACATGGACACTGATGATGATGTTGATAATATTTAAAAAAAATAATCAAGACGGAGGTCAGGTACATATTAACAATTCGAACTTCTATTTATTCACTATTACTGAAGAC